CACACACACACACACACACACAGACAAAACCACAGGGCTAAGACACACGGACAAAGTGCGGGCTTGGGGCCCCTGCATAGACAGAGCGAGGGCCATGTGGGGAGGGGGCCCCTACTGACCTCCCCCAGGCATAGGCACACGAACAGCACATAGACAGGCAGATGCCCCCAGCCAACCAGCCGGCCTGCCACACAGACAAATGGACGGCAGGGAAAGGATGTTCGTGGCTCTCCAGACCATGTGGAGAGGGCACCACAGGCCTTCGACACACCCTGCCACACTGAGGCCCGGGAGTCCCTGCCCCTGAACTAGTCACATCTATTCCCCTGACTCCCAACCCACTCTCCGCCACACTTTGGTCTTGCCCACTGGGGCTGGGGCTGGGGCTGAGGCTGGGGAAACTGGCAGGTGGAAGGAGGGAGAGAGGAAGGGGTATGGACTTGGCTCGGTCCCGTCTCTGTGATCAGGGCAGCAGATGCTGAGAGTCCGGGGCTGAGCCTCGGCCTGGCAGTGGGGTGAGGGCAGGGCCATGGCTCAGGCTTGTGGGGGCTCCTGGCAGCGCAGGCACTGGGCCATCTCCGGCTGGTACTGCTCGACCTGCAGGGTGCAGCTGGAGAATCCAAACCGGGAGTAGAGCCGGGATGAGGCTTCAGCCAGGACAGCTTCAGGGTCAGCAGTGGAGTCTGTGGGAGAGTGATAAGAGGCGGCATCAATCCCAGGGGAGTCAGGAACAGGCAGGGACTGAGATAAGGACAGGGAAAGGGGCTGCACAGCATTAAAGCCAGGCGTGAATGGGAGCCTGCTTTTCTTTCTGTGTTGTATGAACAGCATAAAAGTGTCAAACCAAATGTTGGAGAGACTCACCCCAATCAACCGTGCTAACACACTAAACTCTTCCCAGTCTCCTATTCTCTCCTGTCACTGAGTGTCAACAAACAGCTCAACGTTTCAACAGCCATATCACCCGATTTCCCAGGACAATCCAGATGTTAAATATCTGTCTCATTGTCCCTCTAGAGTTTCCATCAAATATCCTACAAATTATAATATTTTTGGCATCCAAATTGCATGACTCTGATTGCTTCTTGCATCTGGAAGAAACTCAAAAATCCTTTGTCAGCTCATGACTCACCATATATATTTTTAATAGTTGAATCATAATGTAGATGCAATTTTATATTCAGCTTTTTTTCTCAGCGTTATACCATAAACATTTTTCCTAGTTGCTGTACAGTCTTCATATGCATCATTTTTAACAGTTACATGATACCTCAGGGTGGAGGTGCCGTAATTTACCTAACTGTGCCCCATCACTAGACCTGTAGGTACTAATGATCTTTTTTTTTATTTTTATTTTTTTAATAAAGAGCATCAGGACTCTCTTTTTTTTTTTTTTGAGACAGAGTCTTGCTCTGTCACCCAGGCTGGAGTGCAGTGGCACCATCTCGGCTCACTGCAAGCTCTGCCTCCTAGGTTCAAGCGATTCTCCTGCCTCAGCCTCCCGAGTAGCTGGGACTACACGCATCCGCCACCACGCTGGGCTAATTTTTTGTATTTTTCAGTAGAGACGGGGTTTCACTCTAAAACCCAGATGGTCTCGATCTCCTGACCTTGTGATCCACCTGCCTTGGCCTCCCAAAGTGCTGGGATTACAGGCATGAGCCACCGCACCTGGCCACTAATGATCTTTTAAAGGGTTGTTGGTTCCCTGTGCTACTTCAAAGAGGGCGAAACCTCCCCCAGAACACTGCATCCAGTGGATGGAGACTCCTTGTGTCCAACATGCACGAGCGCGTGTGCGTGTGTGTGTGTGTATGTGAGAGAGAGACACAGACAAACAGAGACAGATCGAGAAAGACTGAAACAATCCTAGTAACTCAAGCTATTGTCCCATGTTTGGAGTGGGGTATGTTCTAGGTAGTGACTAGCTGGGGCCAGTGAGACTCACCGATGGCCAGGTGTGCAGAGGCAACGTGGTAAGTGAGCGTAAGGGCCCACAGGTGCAGCTCATGGGTAGCCCGGACTCCTGGCACTGACAACAGCGTATCCCGCACAGGTTCGAACCCCACATTGCGGGGGGTACCTGCAACCAGCACCAGTCATGCCTTACTGCCAGGGCCACTCCTGCCCAGAAGCAGCACCCCCACCACGGGACTCCACCTCCCCTATCCTGTATCCACTCTCCTTTTACCCCTACAATTCACCCTATGCCCAAATCCTTGTTCCAGCAGCAGACCCCATGAGCCAAGCCTTCTTCCCGTACTCTCTTCAAAGCAAAAAGTGGTGGCCCAGTGCGAGAGTAAAGTCAGAGACAGCCGCAGGGGTGGGGAGCAGTGGTGCCCGACTCACCTTCCATGAGGATTCGAAGAACATCTCGGAGGGTGGGAGCCGTGGATCCAAGGGCACAGATGGAGAAGAGGAAGGTGCTGATGGGGTCGGCTGCCTTGTACTGAGGCTGCAGAGAAAGAGACCCCTAAGCCCAACAACCAGCGAGCTTCCAGAGGAAGATCTAGGGGTGTCTTGAACAAACAGGACCTGAGAGGCCCCTCAAAACCCTGCAGAGGGGACAGGGAACATGACTCATGTCTGGGAGAGTCCTGGGAGGTGGGAGGGAGGAGCTGGAGGGAGGGGAAGAAAGCTTTGGGATCTGGGAAGGAGGGGGCTGGGATGTGGAGTTGTGGGGAGGAAGGCTGGGGCAGGTCTCCAACAATGGTACCTTGAAGTAGATGAGGATGGAGGCAGCCAGTACCCCAAAGCTCTGCAGGAGGTCCCCCAACACGTGCACAAATGCTGCCCGGACGCTGGTGTTCCCCAGGGGCAGGGGCTCTTCAGGCCCCTCCTCCAGCGGTGCATACTCTGCTCCCCTAGACCCGTGGCTGTGGGGGGGCCCAGCCTGGTGCAGCACAAAGGCCATTCTGAGGGGGAAGCAAAGCAGCTCAGCCCAGGGGCCTGCTCCTGGCCTCCTATGCCCCCATCTCCACGCCCCATTCTCTCACCTCCCCAGGAGCCCTTTCCCAGCCCCTGGAAGAAAACAGCATTTTGCAAGAGAGACAAACAATGCAGCCTGGCGGAAAGAATACCAGATTTGGTGCCACACACGTGGATTCGGATGCTGGCTCTGTTACCTAAATAGATACATGACTGGGGCAAGTTACCTGTCAGGACTGACTGCATTAATGGTAAACTAGGGGTAATACTACCTACCTCATGGGGTGGCCATGAGGTTCAAATGCAATCATGTTGATGAAAGCCCTCATCAGAGTGGCTGGCCCATGGCAGGCCCTTAACAGAGATCTGCTGACTGAATTTTAGGTCTCTATCCCAGACCCTTCTCAGGCACACCCAGGGCAGCCCATGGAAAGCTGTGTGCGCATGTCTGTGTGTCTGGTGGGGAAGAGAAAGCTAGCTCTCCCATCCTGGAGGAAGACCCCTCGCCCTGGGCCCCACAAGGTGCCTGCTCCATACTGGGACGTACAACAGGTTGGCACAGACTGCGATGCTGGCGGTCAGCAGCATGGCACCCCCCTCGATGTGGTAGTCGCTGTGCAGCAGGCGGACGAAGGCCAGGTACAGGAGGATGCCAGTGACCATCCAGAGGGAGACCACAGAGGCCAAAGCCCCCAGAGTCTCTGCAGGGTAGGGGGGAGACAAGCTGTCAGAGACCTGCTTGGGACCCTGAGAGGTGCCCTCTGGCAAGACTGGAGAGTCATTGGGCCATGCAAGGGCCTTACCTGAACGGTGCCAGCCAAAGGTCATGGTGCGGGTGGCTGGACGGGTAGAGAGCCAGAGGGAGAAGAGGCTGCCCATCATGCTGCCCACATCCGCCAGCAAGTGGGCTGCGTCGGTCATGATGGCCAGGCTGTGTGCCAGATACCCGCCTGCCAGGGTGAAATGATGGAGTCTGCTTCCATTTAGAAAATATCATGTAGTGTGTATAGGCATGGAAAATAAATTGGGGGATATACACCAAAAATGTGAATTGGGGTTTTCTCAGGTGATGGGACTACAGGTATAATTAACTACTGTTATGGTCTTCTTTTCATTCATCTGTATTTTCTAACTTTTTCTACAATGATATATTTTATTTTAATAACAAGAAAATAAGGTTTTTAAAAGAAGCCAGCCCTGACCCACTGGCCCCAGACCTCGACTGGAATTCCCTTTGGTGCTCTGTCCCTCACCTCTCCCACTTCCTGAGTCCCGGGCACCCAGCTCCCCTATCCCAGCCATCCCCATCTCTGCATCTGCACCCAGGAACATCCCTGGGACTCTGGGTGGAGTGGCTTGCGCAGGTGTTGGGAGGATGGGGTTGAAGGGCTGCTCCCCAACTTACCGACCACCTCCCCAGCCATGAAGACAAAGCACACGGCACAGGCAGCATACAGCTGCTTCCGTGCATGCAGCCTCTCCGGGGTGAGACCCGGCGGCGGCAGGGGGTCCCTGTGGCAGTGGTGGAAGGGCATCTCCACAGATTTGGACTCCTCAGGAAGGGTCTCTGATGGCTCTGTGAAGAGACTGAGGCAAGCGACATGGTTCAACCTGGGCCTGGCCCACAGGCTGGCCTGCTCACTCCACGTCCTCAGTCCCCCATGCTGGCCTCATCAGACCATCTCTCGCTCCTTCCCCAGGCCTGGTCGTATCTGGGAGCTGTGTCAGCAGAGGGCCACATGAGAGATGGGGGCTAAATGAACAGGTCAGACCCCAGCCTCCCTTTTCCTTCCATACACAGAGTCACAGAATTTCACAGCTGGAAAGCACCTTACAGATGGTCTAGTCTAACTTTTTTAAGAGATGGGGTTGGCCAGGAGTGGTGGCTCACACCTGTAATCCCAGCACTTTGGGAGGCCAAGGCAGGCAGATCACGAGGTCAGGAGATTGAGACCATCCTGGCCAACATGGTGAAACACCACCTCTACTAAAAATACAAAAATTAGCTGGGTGTGGTGGCGCATGCCTGTAATCCCAGCTACTCGGGAGGCTGAGGCAGGAGAATCGCTTGAACCTGGGAGTTGGAGGTTGCGGTGAGCCGAGATCGCATCACTGCATTCCAGTCTGGTGACAGAGTGAGACTCTGTCTCAAAAAAAAAAAAAAAAGAGAGAGAGAGAGATGGGGTCTTGCTCTGTTGCCCAGGCTGGAGTACAGTGGTGTGATCAGAACTCACCACACACTTGAGCTCCTGGCCTCAAGTGATCCTCCCACCTCAGTTTACTGAGTTTCTGGGATTATGGGCGTGAGCCACCGCACCCGGCTCTAGTCTAACATTTTATTTATTTTTATTTATTTATTTATTTATTTATTTATTTATTTTTATTGAGACGGAGTCTCGCTCTGCCGCCCAGGCTGGAGTGCAGTGGCCGGATCTCAGCTCACTGCAAACTCCGCCTCCCGGGTTTACGCCATTCTCCTGCCTCAGCCTCCCGAGTAGCTGGGACTACAGGCGCCCGCCACCTCGCCTGGCTAGTTTTTTTGTATTTTTTAGTAGAGACGGGGTTTCACCAGGTTAGCCAGGATGGTCTCAATCTCCTGACCTCGTGATCCGCCCGTCTCGGCCTCCCAAAGTGCTGGGATTACAGGCTTGAGCCACCGTGCCCGGCCTACATTTTATTAAATAAGAAGCATGAGGCTCACAGAGTTGGGGGACACATGGAGGCCAACCCAGCTAGTTGCTAGAGCTGAGACTAGACTCCAACCAAATCAATTTCTTATGCTAGGCACCCCAAAATGAGCAGGATTCCTGCTGATCTCTGAGAGCTTTTGGTGAACAGGGCAAGTATGTACCTACACAATGATATAGAGCGAAGGTGGCCACTGTCATTAGGGTGGTTAGAGTGCTATCAGGGTTCTAAGGATGGAGGGCCAGACTAATTATAATGAGGAAATCAGGGAAACAGATGAAAGAGGTAACATGAGAAGGGCCTTGAAGAATGGAAAGGATTTTGATAAAGGCAGGTGAATGCTATGCCACGCACACCAAGGCAGTATGAAGGGAAGGTGGAATGAAGTATAGAATGGGACTCACCATGTGTTCCTGGCCTTTGTGTGCCTCCTTTCCAGGCCCACCTCCCAGAGCCTCCACTCCCGGATCCTGCCCCCACCCTCTCTAGACGTGCAGCTGAAGTGTGGCCCTTTAAGAGACCAGCGGGGACAGCCAGGTGCCCTGGCTCAAGCCTGTAATCCCAGCACTTTGGGAGGCCGAGATGGGCGGATCGGGGGGGGGGGGGAGAAAAAAAAAGAGACGAGCGGGACATTGGGGCCAAAAAGTCTGATTCCTGGCACAGAGAACTGATGGCTAGATTCCAGAGCTGGGGTTGTCACAGGGAAGAAGGGGTGCAGTCTGCTATGGCTGAGGATGGCAGTGAGAGCAGCATGTTAATTGGACTTCAGTCTGACTATAAGCACCCAGCAGCGCCTACCTTAACTGCATGGTACCATAAGCCTCCCTTGACAAATGAATGGGGCTTGGGACCTCACCTAGGGCTGCCAGAGGCTGAGTGAGCTCAGGCTGAGTGCTAAGTCCATTCTGGTTCAATTCTCACCCTTGCCACTACCCAACCTGAACCCAGCAAGGACAGAATCTTCCACAGAATTCAGGACCTAAATAGAAAATACAGTACTAGAAATACTCATGGAGGTGTGACAAGAATACCCATGAGTAAAAACGAGGACTCCAGATAGAAACGTGATCATAGCAGCAAAGTGGGGCGGGATGTCTGGGGCCTTCTGGCTGAAGACAATTCTGCCAAGTGGGTGAACTGAGTTTTGAGGGAGGTAGGGGGGGAACATTTGGTGCTTGTACAGAAAACTGAAATACTGGTAGATTAATTTCTTGAATTTCCAAAGCCCCATCCAAGACTTAGAATCTGGGCGTGTATGATTCTGGGTGTGTTTCCAGAGGAGATGGGGTAGTGAAGGAGGCTGTGAAACCATTCCTCGTTCGTTCAATGAGGTGCACCAGGCAGAGCACACATAATGAAGCCTGGTCTGGTGGAAGAGACAGATTGTAACAAATGGCTTACTACACAAGGACAGGCTGATGTTAGGAGGGTTACAAACAAAGCAGTTTGGGGTGCAGGGAAGGCAGCACCCCCTCACAGGGGACTCCGAGAACTTCACAGAGAAAGGCATGTTTAAGGAGATGAGACCTAGGTGGAGAAGGGTATTCCAGACATGTAGAATGACAAAGACAAGGTTTGTGGCATGGAGTCTAAGTGTGAAGTGTCAGGGGAGGGCTGAGGAGGAAAGTGATGAGCTCAAAGGAATATAGAGGAAGATACACTGACTGCTTGAACAAATATGTCCTAAGCACTGAGATGACCTTGTTAATGGGAGGAAGAGAAGAGAGGAGAGGAGATGGAGGAGTCTAGAATAGACCAGGCCAGAGCTTCCCTGGAGGGTCAGGTAGGTTAGGAAACGCCTTTTAGAAAATGCTGCAGGATTGGGTGACTAATGGCCATATGAGAGTGAAGATGGACTGGAGCTGGAGATGCGAGTCTGAAGAGCAGAGGCTGGGTGGCTTTGGGGGCAGTGGGCAACATTCATTCCCTGGCCTTGTAAAGCACAGCACAGCCAGTCATCAAGGTGGCCACCCATCAACAGGCAGCTCCCTTTTGTTCTGCATAAATTGGGCACTAAGGAAGCCTGGCTGTTGGTGTGTGGGGGTGTGTGCATGTGGGGTGGCTACATGCTGTTTAGAGATGAGGAAAGGCTGTTTCCTCTCCCTGGCCCTCCGAAACCCCCAACAAACAACCCATATTGAGTGGGGAAGAGGGGTGACGTAGCAGGGGCTGAACCAAAGTCAAAAGGACACCTGAAGAGATGCCAGGCCTACAGCAGAGCCCTCACCGCGTCTCTGCAGGCCCCTGCAGGAAGGGGTCCAGCTCCCTTCTGCTCGCCCCCGCCCCCAACCCGGCTTGAAGGCCCCCACCCAAGGAAAGAACGAGAAGCACACAGAAGCACCACGTCAGAGACAAAGGGAGAGGGACTAGGAGAGAAGCAGAAAGATTGAGAGAGATGGGGTAGAGAAAAAGCCAGAGACCCTGCCAAATTCCCGAGACAAACGGACGGTCAGCCGACCGACAAGATGGCCCGCGGGGGTGAGCAGGAAGGCCCGGCGGCCGCTCAGAGGGGCAGGCGGA